GTATCTCCAGCAGTGTCTGGGGCAACACCATGAAATGAAACATGTATTTCCGGAGTGTAATTCATGAGTATTCACATGATATAAGATAAAAGGAGACTAAATACTTCATATCAGTTTGGAGGAGTTTTGCTCACTAGTAAGTACAAGAATTGTTAAAGATTTGGGGATTACAGGTTGCAGATAAAGGATTCTAAACCTATATATACTGACCATTTTAAATCAGTAAATTAATATTCTGAGTTTATAAATTTCATATAACTGTTATTACTGTGAATATATGTCTTAGGGTCTGATACCCTCCCCACCCTTACCCCCCTGGTAAGTTGATAAGAATAAAATAAGCTGGAATTAGTTAAGCCAAGTAAATCGCTGGGCAGATTGCCCCTCTCTAAATGAGTGGCCGTCCTGGGAGGAGTGGATGACAGCATCCTACGGTCCTCTCTCTCTATTTTCCTACCAGGCAACACTACTTTTTGGATATCATCCCCTGCCTAAGATTTCCCCCTTCACCCCTTTCTAGAAAATCTCCTAGGAGACTTCAGTGGTCAAGTAAATAGTTGCTGAAGGAAAAGTCATTCAGTTCAATAGACTGAACAAATATCTGAATCTATGCATTAGTTCTGTGCTATGTTAACCTACATGGATTTGATCCTCAAGTTGCTATGAGGTGCCTTCACAGAGAGTCAATGTCAATGTTTCTAAAATGTTGACAGCTAGTGTCAGGATTTGGGTGCAAAGTTAGAACTGGAAGTTTTCCGTCCTTTTGTTTGGGGAGAGTTGGGAACCCCATTTGGAGGGACTTTGGGGAAAGAAGCAAGGAAGGATGGAAGGGAGGGATGGAGAGAGATAGTAAGCCTGCCCAGTTCCTGCTCAGGAATGGAGAGTTTGGGAAAACATGGAGCTTAATTGCTCTGTTTTTCATTGTGTGCTGAACTGCAGCTCTCCAGGCTGCCTGGAAGGAGGCCATGAAATGGGGAGAGGTTTTCTCCTTCTCTTTAGGCTGTAGAAACAAAAGGAGCCCGATGAGGAGGACATGGTCAAGGAAATGCCATTGTGGATGGCGAGCTGGCCACAGCAGTGTGGCACCTGGCCAGGCGCTAAGCACAGAGCCAGCCAGGAGAGCCCCACCCCCACCCAGGGAAGAGGCAAGGCGTAAGAACTCTGTCAGCAGTGATGTCCATTTTTAGGTTTTGTTTTGTTTCGGTTTGCTTTTGGTTTGGTTTGGTTTTTGTCTCCCCTGTAGCTGTCTGTTTGCAAAGCCTTGTGAAGCATCTTGGAGGAGAGCGCTGAATCTGCAAGGAGAATAAATACAACCAGGAAAGAAAATGCTGAGGCTGAACATGGGGTGAGAGAGGTCAGATAGCTGCGGTACAGCCCGTCCCATTTATTGACTGGGGCAGGCAGCCAGCAGTTTACAGAGAATATTAAAAGCAAGGATGGACTTCTGTAAAAAAAAAAAAAAAAAAAAAAAAAAAAAAAGAGATACAGACATATACATACACACACACACACACACACATATATGTGTGTGTGTGTGTGTGTGTGTGTGTGTATATAAAAAAAAAAAAAAAAAAAAAGTCAATGGATAATGACTTGGCACTTCCAACAGTGCAGGTGACTGTACACAAATGGAAAGGGTAGCAGGGTCACAGAACAAAAGGCACAACTTCTGCCTGGGAGACAGACACAGGACAAGGCAGTGTGAGGCTTATAGGAGGACCAGATTGCATGACCCCGAGATTGATTTCAAGTCTTGCCTTCACCACCCAATGGCTCCGTAACTTGGGAGAGTCCTTGAAAACTCTCTGAGCCTGTTTCTTCACCTAATAAATACATTTGCTTATTCCTCCTTCACTGGACACGTGTAAAAATTGTTTATGTAAAGTTTTTAGCATAAATACTCATTATTAGCATTGTTTATACACTGCTTAAGATTTATTAGGGAAGATTGGAAAATTGATCTATCCTTTAGAGTTTATTACATGTAAATCTGTTGGTGAAAAGCACCATTCTCATTACAGAGGATGGACTCAGTATTTAAAAACAATTCTGTGTTATACTGATAAAACCTTAGGAAAAAGAAAATTTTAAAATCCACCAGAGTCACAAAAATGTCAATATCCAACATGCCAAGTATGGATGGCCATGTAATATAACTACATACTGACTCCCAAATATTGGTGTTGGCAATGAAACAAGGAATAATCATGTTGAAAAGCAACATGACCCAGCATTTCCACCTCCAGTTTTGCATTAGTATCTTCTAGGAACTTTCCTCTGGGCAACCAGGAGACATGTGGGCATCTTTACTGCAGCAGTTTCTAATAGACAACAAGAAAATCCTCTGAAAATAACCAAATGTCCATTAGTGGAGGAATGAATAAGTAAATTTAGTTGTAGACAAACAACAGGCTGCTATTCAGTAGTTAAAAGGAATAAACCACAAGAAAAACATGTTGCAGAAGGATATGTACAGCAAAAATACTGCCAATAAGATGCTTATAACCATGCAAGGCAACAATACATTGTTTGGAAAAATTAAATATTTAGTTGAGAGAGAAAAGCATATGTGATAATTATAAACATCCAGTTTAGGATGGCTGTTACAGCTGAGGAAGGAGGGGAATGTGATTGATTGGCAGGGGTGACAGAGGATGCTTCCAACATATCTGTAATATTGCCTTTCTATTACAAGAAAAATAGTCTGCAGCAAATGTAGCAAAAAATTAAATTAAGTAAAAAAGACAAAGCTTGGTAATGAGTATATTGTAGTTCATTATAGTATTCTCTCTAATTTTCTAAATATTGGAAATAGGTCACATCAAACAAAATCAGGACTTCAAGGTTCCTGTAGGAAAATGGAGACCACCTAAATCTAAGTCTCTTTCCACGTTCTCCAAAAACCATGCAGATGATCTAGCAGGAGAGAGAGAAAAACACCCATGAGCAATGCCTACAGCAAAACTAGGAGACAAAGAATATTAAAAATCTCATGTAAATGGAGAAATAAATATCTAAAACCAACAGGACAGACAGCTGCAGAGCCCATATCAGAATGAAGAGTCAGGTGGGGAGTACATGGAAATGCAGTTGGCTTGACAATCCAGCCGAGAAAGCCAAGAAAATCAATGACAAATTCTCCTATAAACAATAGGAGAATTCAATAAGGCAGCAGGATAGAAAATAAACATTGAAAGATCAATAACTTCTATATGTATGATTGATCGCCAGCTAGAAGGAATGATAGAAAACATTATTTTCAGTAGCAATAAAACAAAAATGAAATTCTTAGGAGTACACTAAACACAAAGATTTGCAAAAGCCATACAGGGACCACTTTCAAAACATGACTGAAAGACACAAAAGTTGGACAAAGGAAAAGGTACTCCTTCTTCTCAGTTAAGATGATGACATTCAAAAGATGTCAGTTCTCTACTAGTCAATAGGTAAATTTAAAGTGATGCCAATAAAAATAACAACCATTTCTTTTTGTGGAGTGAGACAGGTTGATTCTAAAGTCTGTTTGAAAAGATAAATAATCAAGAAAACCAGGAATTGGTTGAAAGAGAAAAGCAAAGAAGGAAATAGGCCCTACAACATAGTCAAACAAAGTATAAAGCCTCTATAATTAAAACAGTGTTGTTCCTTCCTCAGAGTTTCTAGAAAAAAAAAAAAACAAAAAAAACAGTGTTGGCCTGGCCTGGAAATAGATGATCCAATGAAACAGAATAGAAAATCCAAGAATAGTCCCAAGTACATGTGCAATTTAGTATATAGTGATAGTGGTGTCTCAGTTCACTAAAGAGAAGATGGACGTTTTATTAAATGATGTCCAGACAACAGGATAGCCATTTGAAAAAAAGATGAAATTGGACTATATCTTATGCCATGAACCAAATAGACTCCAAATGGGTCAGAGATATAAATGTTAAAGAAACAAAAAAAAAAGCACAGGAACCATGAGAAGTATGAGTGAGTTCCAGGTGTAGGGTGTAGAAAGTCTTTCTACCTATGATTCAAAATCTAGAAGCAATTAAGAGAAGATCAGTAAATTTGACTGTATAATAATAAAACTCCTTTTATTTTTACATGGTAAAATCCAACAAAGTTAAAGAATCAATGACAAGCTGGGATAAAATGTTTGCAACTAAAGAGCCCTTAGAAAATAAAAAGGGTAAAACATCTGAGAGAAAGAAGAGTAAAAGAGAAGAACCAACATATCACAGAAATAGACCCACAAATGCTCTTTGAGCATGTGAATAGAGGTTCAACCTCACTCACTCTAAAAGAAATGAAAATTAAGACTCCACAAAACAAAGCTACAATTTCACACTTGTCAGACTGACAAAATTTCAGAAGGTTTATAACACATGTTGGTGAGAAAATAGGGGCATGGGCATTCTCGTGCATTGCTGGTAGGATGTCACAATGGTATGCCCTTCTGTGAAAATGGTATGAAAGGAAATTTGAAAATAGATAACAAAACTATGTATGCATTTATCCTTTGACTCAGCAATCCAACTTCTACATTCGCCAACTGAAATTCTTTCATTAGGAGACACAGAAGGAATTGGCATGGTTTAATCACCCTATCCACACACACTTTTTGTAATGCAGAAAACTAGAGAGAGCACTATGAATCCAAGCATCTGAGGCCAGCAGTATGACAGCAAGGGCATCTCTAGGTTTTCCAGGGGAAACAGAGTCAGGAGGAGATAGAATGGCAAGAGGTAGAAATTGATGGGGGGAGGGTGGGTCCAGAACATGGCTTGCTTTTTGCAATCTTCTAGAATATGATACATAGGCTTGGATTAGAGGTTTAGGGCAAAACAGACTAGTGCAAAGGAAGAAGTTGAAAAATTTCTTAGCTCTGCTTAACCCTAAAACCACAGCATTTCTCTAAAGCAGTCAGAATTTACCCTATCACAATGAGCTTCCATATGGCAAAGAGACCAGGCAAACAGGTCATATTTAAATGAACTTCTGAATTTGCTTTACAGATATGTGAGACTGCTCAGGGAGGACACACCAAGGGCAAGATCTGCGCAAGATCATTTTCACTGTTCTGTACACAGCAGACAATTGTCACAAGACTTCAAGGTGAATGGCATTCCTTGGATTGTGCAGCATGCAGCCCTGAAGGGGAATCTGTCTGGATTAGCAAAAACCTATCTCAACCATTAATATTTGGAGAACAACTAGAAATGGCATGTGCTTCACTGTAGTGTTATCTCTGGGCAGGAGAGGGACCCTACCATCCCCCAAACTCAGGCCTCCTTTAGTAATTAATCCTTTACTCTAGTGGGATATTTGCTTTAAAAAAAATTGTTTAGGTGGGAAAGAGAAGGTCGCTCTTTCCCCAATTTAGCCATTTCTTTCTCTGTGCTTAGAAAGATAATTTTTTTTTTTACATTCACTAAAGTGTCACTTAACGAGAAGGGCAAGATGTTCTCCAGATAATAAATTATTAATGGGAACTTTTTCTTCTAGAAGGAAATTAAATGAATAGCTGGCAGTCCTGTAATTAGGTTTTGAATGACTTTAATTTCTTAACATCAACTGGAAAAAAATAACAAGTGTTATAATGTATAATTTCTTATAATAATAATATTAGAAATTTTATATCTGTAATCTTATTATTCAGTGAGAAGGTTACCAAGCAATTTACCAGAGTGTGGGCTGAGGATTATGAAATGCCACTTACACACAAATGACAAAATGTGTTGCCATGGTGAAGGACTGGTCAAAACAGGATAATGTTCTTGCTCATTTGGAATATATCAACGTAATGATTATCTGAGATAGAGAAAGCAACTTCATTCTCAGTCCGTGAATCTTTTGAAAAAAATGCAAAGAATAGATAAAAACTAAAAATTCTAAATCCTTTCTGAAACTTGCATGTTGCTATCATCTGGAAAGTTTTAAAACATACTGAAGCCCAAGTCCCGTCCTCAGAGACTCTGGTTTTATTTTACTCTGGTAAAGTGCAGTCTGGAAACTGAGATTCTTAACACTCTGCAGGTCATTGTAATCTGCAGCTAGTGGAAGAAAGTGATTCTAGAGGGTGACACATCATTCCGCCCAAAGACTACAGTAAAAGTGAAGCTTATTGTTCACATATTTGTTGACTTATTAATGACTCAACATTAATAAGAGCTTTGTTTTAAGGGTAATTATATTAGTGTGTCTAAAAACCAATGAAAAATAGAAATATAGAAGGAAATATAGGAATAAAATAGAAATAGAACATTTACTAGAATAATAGATGCTGTATTATTTATTAACATAATAGTATTATAGTTTATGTATTATGTATCCATTAATATAATACACTAAATAATAATAGAAATATAAAAGAAATATAATCTGAGAGTTTATAAAGATTTACACTCAAGTAAACTTGTAAACTTAATCAGAACTATATTAGTACACGATGAGAACAAATTTTATTTCCAGAGACTATCCAGTATTTATGCATTTTGAAGAAAACCAGGACCTTTACTCATAAAATCAGGCTGCAGCCAGGTAATACTTGTATTATAGGAAAGGCAACAGATTTGGTTCAGTAGCAGTAAGGACGACATATTTGGTTTGCATTCAAACCTAAATTATGTAGCCTCATTACATTTCACGAAGTCAAACTATTATATAGGATTTGATCAAAAATGACATCAAATTTAAATCAGTGAGGAAACAGCTCACTGGTGTGTCAGACTTAATATATCCATTCACAAAGCATTACACTTACTACTACAAAAGCAAGGCGGCTTTGTGAAAATGGAAGAATGAGGACTCCAACTGTATCTGTAAAGTGTTATTATTTAAAAAGAATCTAAAGCAAATATCACTAAATTGTACCATTTGTTCAATGTGGCTGATGAATACATTATGTCTGCTCTATTCTTTGTACTTTCATGTAGGTTTGAAATATTTCATTTAAGAAAAGTTGAATTCAACATGGACTCTAAATTGAAGAAATCTACCATCAGGAAGATAAAAGAAGAGAACTCATGAAGAACAATAACATAAGTTTGAAGGTACCAGGCAGCATACAATAGTAAAGTATTTCTCACTCTTTTTAAAACTTCATTTTCTTTTTTTAAATTTCAGAATATTATGGGATTCAAATTGTTGGGTTACATATATTGCCTTTACATTGCCCAAGCTAGAACTACAAGTGTGCCCATTCCCCAGACTGTGGGCTCTGCACTCATTGGTTATAAATTTGCCCATCCCCTCTACCCCCCCCACCTGTCTGGCACCTGATGAATATTCCTTCCATGTGTGTACCTAAGCATTGATCAGTTAGTACCAATTTGTTGGCGAGTGTATGTGGTTCTCTCTCTTCAAGTATCATAAGTTTTTCCAGACTTGTGATACTTCACTTCAAAGAATGGACTCTAGCTCCAACCAGGATAATACAAGAGGTGCTAGTTCACCATTGGTTTTTATGATTTAGTAGTACTCCATGGGATACATATACCACATTTTATTAATCCACTCATGGATTGATGGGCACTTGGGTTGTTTCCACATCTTTGCAGTTGTGGATTGTGCTTTTGACAGTTCAGAGAAAGAGTTGAATAGACGTCTTTCTATATGGTGGTTCAGGAACCCAGGACCCATCATCTCACGACCCTGCCATTTCCTACAGCCTCTTGGTCCATCACTGGTTGTAGGGAACAGAGGGAAAGGTTACACAGGGGGTTTTTCATGAGCCAGACTGAAGTCTTGCATACATCACTCTTGCCGACTTTCTACTATCTAAAACCCAGTCTCCCTCTGCCCAGGAAGAACAGGAAAACGGTTTGGTGAACATCTCACCAGTCTATCAGTGACTGCGTGTAACACGAGATGCAGTGCTGAGGAAAGAAAGTGCTCAGAGTAAAGAAATGCTGTGTTTGGCAAAAGGGGCAAAGGAGCGTTTGATGGGGTAGGTGACATCTGAATTAGAACTTGAAAGACTTGTAGGATTTGGAAGTGCAGAGATAAATTTTATTTGGGGTGGGGGAAAAACTGTGTACAAAGGTAGAAAGATAGAAAATACAGAGCCCATGCAAGGAACAGAGAACAAACGTGGAAGAGGAGAGCTTAAGTAAGTTGGGCTGATATTCAGTCCACATGCACAGGAAGGCTATGCAAGTTGCTCAAAGAATGAAATATTTCTGAACTATGCGTAAAAAAGCCACTGGTCCCAGCCCCTGAGTGTCCACGTGGCCATCCTGGCTGCCACCTGGGCTTCCTAGACCGCCCCACTGTCCTGGGAGTTGTCCCCAACACCACAGGTTCCTGCATGACCCTGCTCCAGTGCTGGGGCCCATCAGTTTCGATTGTTAGTGTCCAGATTTTACTGGCTCTTACATATTTTGCACATCATCTCTGAGAGCAGGATTACAGGAGGGCCTAACAGCAGGGTTTGGAGAGGTGGGCTGGAGTTGGTTCGTGGTGTCCTCAAATGCCTCCAATTTTATTCGTTATGGGGAAGGAGAATGCTCACCACAGATGTTTTTTTTTTTGAGTAGGCAAGTAATATGATCAAAGCTCTGTTGAGAAAGATGATTTGACAGCAGCTAATTTAGGATGATGTGAAGAGAGCAAAAGTAGAAGCAAGCATTGAATGATCTTTGTAAATGTATGACACCAGGTTATTAAAACAGCAGGAGGCTCCATCTAATTAGTTATTACAGTTATTAAGATAAAGAAAATATCACCAATAATTAGATCAGACTTAACCTTATTACTTTGTTCTAATTACTAAGGTTTATAACTATGATTGCTATTACAGTATCTATATTCATGGATGTGATATTCCAATATATGTCCAGGGCTCTAGTGCCAAGATTTGCAGAGCATCTTCGGATCTCCATCCTCCGTACACTCCCTCAGTTATCTCTATAAGGGAAAAAACTTGCTAGTTCTGCCTGTTATTTGAGGAAAATAGCAGAGATTTCTCCGTTCTCATATTTTCCACTGCATTGGCCCCCTGTGCACACATACATACACACATGAGCAGGTGCACACACGTACAAGTGCACACCTACACATATAAACAAGTACATGGCCAAGTGTGTACACACATGACCAAGTGTGTGCACACACATGCATGTGTGGGCAAATGCGAGGATACTGGCATCTACAAGACAATCCTACACCTGCCCTGGTGTGTTCACAAGAACCTACTTGCTTGCTCCCATATCCTAGGGTGGATGTGATTTCTGCCTTGTTCTTTCTAGTTTTCAGATTCTCTTCTTTCACCTAAAGATCAAAACCAGATTGTTCTTGCTGTGTTAGTGCTCAGGACTTCCCACTGGGGCCATGGCCCCTCCTATTTGCCCCAGGCTGGACCGTTCTGCTCCCCCCTCTCCTACCCAGGCTGTTGAAATGAATGGTGTTTTCCATGCCCCTGCATCTCCGTCCTGCCCTGAGCACAGGACCTGCAGACCCCGTGGAGGTGGGATGCCTTCTCCAACATGGAAGCTTTCCACAGGAGCTTTATGGAGGTTTCGTTATGTAGGCCTATTTGATTAAATCATCAGCCACTGATGATTAGCTCGATCCCCAGCCCTTCTCCTCCCCCGGAAGGTCTGGGATTGGGATTGAGAGTTTGGACCCTCTAATCCTGCCTTGGTCTTTCTGGCAACCAGCCCCTATACTGAAGCAATCTACGGGAGAGTTACCTCATTAGAACAAAAGATGCTCCTATCACCCAGGAAATTCCAAGGAATTTAGGAGCTGTGTCCCAGGAACAGAGGACAAAGACCAAATACATATTTAATCACACTCTCCTATTGTCAATTAGTACAGAAAAGTCATGTCTCCATTGTTGTTTATAAATGTGTACTGAAGTCACCACTGCACTAATGTGTCAGGCTTTTCAAATAGAGGGGATTTAATACAGGGAATTGGTTACATGGGTGTTGGAAGATTGAGGCCACTCAGTAACTGCAGGAAGCAGCTCCCACCCCTGGGGTTGGGGGAACAAAAGTGAAGATGTTCTTCAGTAAGTGGGTCTATATAATCTACCTCCAAAGGCCAAGGGGTTTTGGGGTGCTGAAGAAAGAGGCTGATAAGTCCAATTTCTCAGAAAGAAACATTTAATAGGGACTTAGGAACAGAAGCCATGTCTTGGTCAGTGAGAAGTGATGCCCCAGACCCAGAGCTGCTTCAGCATAGGGAGGGAATGTGCAGGCAATTGAAATCTACCCCTCAGGGAAAGGCAAGAATTTGCCTAAGGGTGTGGTGAGTAAGTGACAGTAGAATTCTTTTTTATTATTATTATTTCAGCATTTATTATTATGGGAGTATAAATGTTAAGGTTATGTATATTGCCCATGCTCCCCTCCCCCCTTGAGTCAGAGCTTCAAGCGTGACTATCCCCCAAACGTTGCACATCTCACTAATTACGTTTGTATATACCCATCCCCTCCTCCCCCTCCCACCTGCCCAACACCCGATAAATGTTATTCCTACATGTCCACTTAGGTGTTGATCCGTTAATACCAATTTGCCGGTGAGTACATGTGGTGCTTGTTTTTCCACTCTTGAGACACTTCACTTAGTAGAATGGGTTCCAGCTCTATCCAGGAAAATACAAGAGATGCTCTATCACCATTGTTTCTTAAAGCTGAGTAGCACTCCCTAGCATACATATACCACATTTTATTAATCCACTCATGTATTGATGGGCACTTGGGTTGTTTCCACAACTTTGCAATTGTGAACTGTGCTGCTATAAACATTCGAGTGCAGGTGCCTTTTTTGCAGAGTGTCATTTGATCTTTCGGGTAGATGCCCAGTAGTGGAATTGCTGGATCAAATGGTAGACCCACTGTATCGCTTTAAAGTATCTCCATATTGTTTTCCACAGAGGTTGAACTAGTTTGCAGTCTCACCAGCAGTGTAGGAATGTTCCTATCTCTCCACATCCATGTCAACATTTATTGTTTGGGGACTTTTTGATAAAGGCCATTCTTACCAAAGGCATTCCTGGAACCAGAGTTAATCAGAAGTCAACATGGCGGATTAGCATCCAAGATGGAGTTGCTTTCTCCTCCATAGGAGAGGAAAACCAAAATGTAGGCGCTCAGAGGCTGGTTGGTTAGATTTCTGGTTAGATCGGCCAATGCTTCGATTTCTGAGGGAGGCACCACACCACTGCTGCAAAGAAAGACCCTTGAACAGTGGACATCACTGAGCAGGTTCCAGAAGTTCCGAAAGAAGCTGGGGGCGTGGCGTGTGCTGCTGGCCTGATACTAATGGGAGCTAGAAATGGGAATTCTCCCTCTTCCACTTTCCCACGTCCCACTGGAGCTCCTCTTGGTGACATGTCACCATGTAACAGGACACCAGACACAACGGAGTCTGGGACATCTGGTTTGCACAGTTCTGCCTTAACCAGCACAAACACTTCATGCCACGTGAATACGCAGTGTAGTCAGCACATACCTGGAGGCTCAACTCAAGGTCGTTGACTTGAATGGTCCTATTATAAATATTGTGAAGGAAGAACCACAGAGAATAATGGCCAACACACCTTTTTATATTTCTAATTAGGCCTCCCAGACTTAGTTTTCAGTTTGAGTACTATGATTTTTTTTTTTTTTTAAAAAGCATGGAATCCAATTTATATATAAATCTCTGTTTGGACTCACATTTTCTTATCCTTGTTAGTGATGGCAACATAAAATTATTTCAGGCTATGAAACTCAATATGCAATTTTTACAACACAGAATATATTCAGGGAAAATATGTAATTTCAGTTACTATAGTAGAGTATCAGGCATAAGGCTATACCTGGTCCAACTCTTGGTTTTATAAATGTGCAAACCTTTTGACAGCAACCCTTTGTTTCAATGACCATTCTGATGCACAGATTTTGAAGCACATAAAAACCCACAATGAATCCACACTCATTCTTTCATAAGTGCTCGTTTCTGTAACTAGAAAATGAGAAACAGATGGTAAATATTTGCCCAAATTGGAAAAAGAAAGGCATTCAGCTCAAGAGTCCTGAGTCCAGTTAGTTTTGCTGTGATTCACCAGAC